CCGGGGGGCCCCCCCCCCCCCCCAGTTCTTTACAGTTTTGCTCTAAATAGCTGTGAAAGTTGCTTCTCCCTTCCCACACAGGGCAGGGTTACGGGAGCTGCACTGGTGACCGCCATCACCCTTCAACTGGGGTCCCACCGTGGGGACACAGAGCTTCGCGTTGTCTGGTCTCCCACTCCTGCTGGTGGCACACTGCGTTCTTAGGCGCCTCAAGGTGGCATTTTGACCTCCAGCCGGACAAGCTTTTGCCTGTTTCTTATTTGTAGGAGCGACGCATAGGTTTGTATTTGTGAAGCTGAAGGTGAGGAGAGACCAAGAAAAAATTTAATATATCTTCAAAATTAACTGTACACTTAAATGAATTTTGAAAAGAATCACTTAGAAGTGTACTGAGGTCTACAAACTGAGTTTGACAATGAATGAAAAAGGAGATGGAATAGACAGCGATGGGTTGATAAAATGGATAGAGCGTATACAGTCTGGTACAGTGTCAGTGAGAGAATCCAGGCGCGTAGTGCACAGGTGTTCACCTTGCTGCAGGACTGATAGAATCCTAGATGGAAAGAACCTGGCATTTAAGGTGACAGGGTGTAAATTCTATTTACAGAAGTGCTCAGTTGGGCTTTGGCGATTCCCTCCACCCTAACAAAACAATTTGCCGGAATATTCTTTACCTGGATGTTCCCCCCGCTGTTTTAATCAGTTTCAATTTTAGACAACTTCATCAAACTATAGTGGGGTTATGGGAACAGCAACCTCTTAGAAATGTTTTTGCCATTGCACAGGTTTTTATCTTCTCTCTTTAAAATAGTTTGCTATTCAAAGGTTAAGGTTGAGTTTGTAGGGTTGCCCTTTTCCACACAAAAATGGTGAGGAGCATCTTCCATATACTCATAAACGTCCTCTGCTCTCATATCTTGGGGGAGATGTTGCGGGACCTTCTAGTTATTAACCGGCGAAGTTGTATTTGCCTTTGGTAACCCAGCACAGTATTTAGATATCTGGCGTATGTTTGAATGATCGCGTTTCCCTCAGGTATCCACTCTCCTCCTCCTCATGTTCCTGTCAGGGGACCCTGGGAGCAGAGTTGTTGAAGAACAGCGCCTTCCAAGGTGCCTTGTCTTGTCCTAACGCGAGGTTAAGGTCGGTTTCTCTCAGATCCATCCTAGGAGCTCCGCGTTGGAGAGGTCCTGAACCAGAAGAGAAGGCAGGACGCTGGCTGGGGTTGTTAGTATTCTTCATTCCCTTGCCGGTTCAGGAAGGCTTGCTCCCTTCGGCTCAGTGTGCGTGCCTGGCAGAGGTATTATTTGCCTGCTTTTTAAGCTGTCTCTTAATAAAGTTTGTTCTTTTCAACCTTTTAGATAGACATATTTGTTCTTTGCCAAAAGATGGAAATTTTGAAGAAAATTGGAAATTAGAAGAAGAAGGAAAAAAAGAAAGACAAGCCCAGAAAAAGGATCCTAACTTCATCTCCAAATAGCTGCCAAACAGCTTTAAGCTGGGAGC